TTACTATAATAACCTCATTAGATGAAAAAGCCCCACAAATAATTAACAGTATACATTAATTTATAAAACAGATTTACTTAAAAATATAATTACGATTTTTATATAACACTATAAAGGATCTGCAAATACTTTCTAGTATAATCTGATTTTGAATTTATAAAAGCAATCATTTATTAAATTATAGTAAAAAGCAGGATACATCATCATCTTTCTCCTTATCCTACTTCCATAGTGTTGCAATAAGTTTTTGTCCTCCACATAACTCTATCATATGTCATCTCAGTCACTCTCTTTTTGATAATGTCACCTTTCACGCAATCCATCCATCTCTTTCTGATACGTCATACTAATATTATAAATGTGAAAGTTTAGATGGATGGATAGGTGTCTCCATAACTAAGAATCTTGATGACATTTGACACTGATGTAATACAATCTGAAAGAACACATAAGCTATTTACAAAGTTTTACTTTAATTCAGTGTGAACAGAATTGCAGGACAAAGCCAGTATTATATAATAATTAACTACATCAATGTCTTTGTGTTTTCTACCTTTGTTACACTATGAGTCATCACCAATATAACTTGAGCTCTCAATTACACATGAATGCACACAGTTAATGTTACAAGGCGAAGTTCATTAGTGTTGATTACATTTTAATTATAATCATTGTTTTTTTATCTGTAACTTGTAAATGACTTTTGAATAAGTACAAAAATTGATTCTTAATATATTCCTTATGCTCTTAAATAAAATAATAAATTCTATCTAGTTCTCTGGAAAGAAGATTAGTTACTCTATCACTATATTAATCTGTACTATTATTATAAAGAGGAAAGATTTGTATTTTTGATATTGAAATACATCAAAAACTATTGTGCCGATTTCTAAAATCGTTTCACCATTAAATAGCTACATTATCAGGTGAAGTGGCGACCAACAGCTAGTATAAAACAAAGTCGCTTACAGCTGTCTGTCCGTATGCATGCAACTGATTTTCATGCAGTATTCTTCAATAGATAGTGATAGAAAGGAAGATTTATATGTGAAATATAGAAATACTAATAATTTCTGACGTAAATGCATTTTCATATCAACATTAGACCTATACGAAGCCAGGGTAATTTAATTCCCTTTCTCTTGACCACCTTCTTATAAGGAGAGGATGGGAAGGGGCAGTGGATTTGACAGAGAGACGCATAGGAAGGGGAAATGTCTCTGTTGGATAAGGATAGGCACCGCATCTGCAATTGCGGATGTCTATGGGCAGCGGTCACTACGCCATTTTAGCGGAATCAGGTGGCCGCTTGCTTATTTGCCACCTTATGTTATAAAAAAAAATGGTTGCTAGTTAATTATAATAATTTTCCTTTGTTATAGTGCATCTTCATAATCTGGTGCTATCTGCCCACTGACTTCAATGGCTCCTTGATCATCTACCACCGCATCCTTCGCCCCTACTACCAGAAGCACCATAACAAGATTGACGATCTGGCCAACTCTGGTATGTTATTTACCTTTATTATACCACGACCACACAGAAAACAGGCGTGAAGTGGAAGCAATTCCGCGTTTCGTCTGATGAGTGTGGTGCCGTAGGCCTAATTTTAGTTCCTTTCCCTTTCCACCCTTTTCTTAAGAGGAAAGGATGGGAAGTAAAAGTGGATTTAACGGTGGAGGAGACACATAGGAAGGGGAAATGTCATCTTGATGTGTGTCTCCTCCTCCATCAATGAAGGGTAGGCAACGCATCTGCAATTGGGGATGTTTATGGGCAGCAGTCGCTTTCCATTTCAGTGGATTCAGGTGGCCGCTTGCTTGTTTGCCACCTTATATTATAAAAAAAAATTCTTTATACCATTTAAGTTGCCTCCAATGTAAATAATTTTATCTTGTAGGATAAATACTGTTTACTTTGGATATTGTTGATTACTCCATATGTTATTTTTTTAATCTAGAAGAATTTGGATACAGTTATTTACATAGGAGTCATTGACATGACTATCTTTTTGCATGATTAAAAGGCTGAGGATCTGCCTTGCATTATTTTATCTATCCGATTTTTATTTCAACCCTAGATCGATTTATTGGAATGGGTATAGAATTACTTTTAAGTCATTTCAAGTAATATAAAACTCAACAAACTACTCATATGTGCATTGAGACATGACATTTGCAATATAAGTAAAATTGCTGATTCATGTGACCTAGTAACATAGAATATACCAAGCAATTCAAGGAAGTATAAACGAAATAAATTGAAATTATTTTTTGTAATTGTAAATTTCTAGTTATTTCTAGTAATTGATTAATTCCGATATTTTATTACTTGTTTTTTCTACTAGTATATAAAAAAATGTTGATTGTTGAGTTTTATATTTATTGTTTTACTAGTTGGTGAATATAAAAATATGGGTATGGTGATTTAAAAAAAACGTTAGAAATATGTGGATATGACAATATTTTTTTTCGTCAAAAAATGTAATAATCTTTTATACTCGATGGTTTGATGTTACTGTTTTTAGACCCTTTGAAAAAGATAATAAAGGACGCCAATAAACATATGGATAAGACTCTCAAAGCTTTCAGCAAAAAACTCGATGAGTTGCACAATGATTAGATTTTTTGCTACTAAAGTCATGGTTGGGGAGAGTTTGGTAAGGTAACAATAGATTAGTCTTATGCTTTGCATGGGAAAGGGCACATGCAAGTATATTGGTGGGAATCTATCCATATACAAGTTGAAGTTGTTACATAATTTTTCTGCCGTTATACTTGTTTTTATTGCTTGCCTGTTTTGTATAGGGGCTTGCTAAATTCACATACACACATACTAAGTAAAAATACAATAACATCTATGTTAAATGTAGATTATTTGGGATAATAAATGAATCTCACAGTTTTACAGATAATTTATACACTTCCTTTCTAAATAGCATTGTTTATATTTTATTTTAAAATTCCATGTTTGTTTTGTTTGTCCACAATTATAAAATAAGTAACAATAGGCATATGTATCTACGAATTTTATGATATACATCCCTGTATCATAAGGATTTTTCCATACTACAACTAATTACCACGGTTTTTAGCATATTTTAAAGCAATACATTTTCCTTGTGTTTAACATTATTTTTCCCTTTAGCCTTTTAGTCATATCTACATGTTTTTAACGAATTTATTTGAGGGTTTTGCACCTGTTTCTTTTTTTCCTTTACTATTTTAAAAGTTTTCTATATATTTTGAATTTCAATTCGTCTACAGATCTCCTATTTTTATTGTTTGTCTACCGAAATTATCAATTTATAGACAAAATGTGTTTTTATACTATTTCTTTTTTAATTTTCCACATGGACAGAAAAATCACGATTACAGGTAGATAACGTCCATCAGTTGGTGCATGATGTCAATAAAAAAATGAGCATTTCCATGAAAAGGTTGACTTCACCGTAATTTTTGTCTTGTATGTTATTTTTTTTTAAATATTATTGGTAATTTGAGTATAAATACATCGTATTTTGCTGGTAATTAAATTATAGTTACGTATATTTTTTGTGTTCATTAAATATTAAAAAAGATTGCACCATCTTTTTTATTAGCTACATTTTTTGATTATTTATTTATTGGGCAACCTCTATGTACCTAATGTTTGTCAACATAATTCCATATTTTTTAGTTTTGTTAACGGTACCTGCATAATTTATTTGTTTTGGGTATGTAGTTTTGTTTGTTTTTGTCCTATTTAACGATGGGTATAACCTTTTTTAGGTAAACAAGATTAGAGCACTTTCACACACATCCATCGACATGTAAGTAAACACCAATGGACGGTCAACTTAAAATTTTTTCATTGACAAGATAAAAAAATGATTTTATCCTATTTCTATGCTTGAACTAAAATGGAATGTGGATTAACACATTTATAGAAATAATCGAAATGAAAAAATATAGACTTTAATTTACTAATGCCCGGTTTTAATTGCTTTTAACCATTTGTTAGTGTTAATGGTTCGATAACATCATGAACTGTTTCCGAACTACATAACATGAGTCTTACTCTTTTGAAATTAGGTTCAGCCTAACATTAATAAATCAATTGGTAAATGAAATAAATGGGTACATCAGAAACCTAGCTTAAGAGTAAATGAACTGTTGTTTCGTCTTGTACTCGTAGATGCTCACTTTTGATTTTGTCATTCATGTTAAAACTTTGAAAAAAAAAATCTAGTACATGCGTTATTTAGTTCAAAAATCGACGTCTGTGTCGAAAAAAATTGATATTACCTTTGCATGATTTTTTATGTTGTTTGTTTGTAAAATAATAGTAAATTTACGTGTTTTGTCTGCTACCAATTTATTTCAACAAATCGTAATATTGCGTAACGCAAAAATCATCCTGCAAGTAATGATGAGTCATTTTTTTATCTTAACTCATTAGTCACGCTTTCCATAGATAACTAATGTATACAATTAACCAATCATAGATAAAATTAACCTTATATCTGGCAAGGAATATCATTTTGTTGTTTTTATTGTGAAACTAAATTTTTTTTCTGTAGACAAAAAAATAAGGTGTCATTAAGTTTTCGGCGATTCGTAATTCCGTACGATAGCTGTGCAACATTTTGTGTCTGAGTAAAGAGTTGCTAAGGCAAAGGTACCCTTTAGATTAAGGGCCTGTCCCACCAATGGCTGATAGGGGCTCAGATAGCCTTTAATGGATGTCACTGATAAGGTAAAATCCGATATTTCCTCCACATATTTTATACGTTGGATTATCAGACAATTTACAATTTGGTGGGACAAGCCCTAAATCTTGTAACGAAACTAAGTCTAAAAATGTAAAAAAAAATCTTGGTAAAAGTTTATTTTTTTGTTGTTATCGAGTATTGTTTGCAACTTATTTTTATTAAATTTCATTTAAGTCGTACAATGACTTACATAACTGTATATTTTAGTATTGCTGATATCAGCAAAAATAAAGACTGACCTTTTTAAACTGAATTGCGAATTACATTGGAATGCTCTGTCGACACTTTCACTTGATGTTGCTTACCAACATATTAAAAATCGAAGGACAAAATTACAATGCTTGTTAAATTTAAGAAATATAACTTTAAAAAATTAAAGTTGTATTTAAATAATATTATGAGGGAAAAAAATACTTTAGATTTTTTATTTTAGTTTTTTTGAGCATAAACTCTAGATTCCTCTGAATATTCTACCAAAGATTTGTCAAAATCCGCCAATAGATTTAACAATACAAATAACACATTTTTTTCTAATAATTTTATCATCTACTTAGAGATTTCATTTAACTGTAATAGATAGTGTAAATATTAGTACAAACCAGTTATTTTCATTAGATTGATTATATTAGACATTTTGTATGGAACAATAATTTTTTTTGATAGTTGCACCAACTGTGGATGTATTCAGATCTTATTGCTTTAAAAAATAAAACTACTCGGAAACAATTATTATGAAGAGCCAAATAAAACTTTAAAAAAATCTACACACCTTCATAAACTTCCTCATTCATGTAATCCTTAAAAATACTTAAAAAGCGAGGTGATTTCCTGCCAGATATAAGTTCAAAAGCTTGTAAACCTTGTAGTTTTAATGCAGTATTATGTACATATGTTATGGTGACTGTCTTATATGCTTTACTAAGTAACTAAAAGTAGTTTCATAAGAAACTTAGCTTAGTTTTAATCTTGCATGCGTTTTTGTAAATGTTGCATATAATTCATTAAATAACTATTAATCTAATTTTTCTAAAATTTTCTGTTTGATAATTTGTGTTTTTTTTCTTTTTCAGCAAATCGCTTTGTATCTGAAGTCGTTGGGAAGAACAAATAAAACCTTTTTTTTTTCTAATAAAATCTGCAAGCAAAAGTACAAATCTTTACACTCTCCTTTTATATGAGCTTTTGTCACTGTATTTGACTGCTCGTATGTGTAATCTGTGGTTATTAAAAAAACATAAAATAGTTCATATTTCAAATTAAGGTTTTCTCCAATTTTGTAATTTTTTAAGTGTTTTAATCCAAAATTAAAATACTAGTTAAGTTTGATAAATTCGTAAATAAAAGCCAAGTGGTCTTTTCAGTTTAATTTTTAAATATTAATGTATTTTACAAACTTATGTAACGAAAAGACCTTAAAACAACCTAAATTTTTTTAGTATTATCATAAATTTTGACATGGCAACTTCGAAATTATCGGAATTAGGTTATTTGAAACATTTATATGCCTTTCCTAGTTATAAATTTCTTAGTATTGTTTTCTTCTATTATGTTAAAATAAGATCTTCAAATATTTAGATTAATTAAGTGGAAATTGGTTAGGTCATATTCCACATACTTTTATTTTGTTTTAGAACAATTTCTTTGAATTTCTTTTATTGCTGTTTTCTCAATCAAGTAGTTTTGCTCAAGGGATGTTTCTATTTCTCTGTTGGTTTGATATTTTGTTACATTGAAAAGACATTGTTGTGTATTTTTTAAATAAAGGGCAGATTTTTCCCGCCAGCTTTGAGTGTTGCTATACCTAGAAATTTAAGTAATGCATTTAATGTTTGGAAATTGACATCTGTCAAATGATAGAGGACAAAGATTATGAAATCGGGACGTTTTGTGACAAAAATCATGTGACGTATTGTCTATGCTTTAATGTAAACGTTAGTGTGCCTTTGGCAATGTTAGCCAGCGTTTTGTATTCACTCAAATATTTGTCATTTTCTTTTTCACAAAATAAAGAGGAATTCATTGTGTATTTGATGTTGTTTTATTTTAAAATATCCCAATTCTGAAACCTTGTTGAAACAAGGCTATATAATAAAACACATTTCCATCCCTCTTATGCTCGCTGTATTGATATAAGAAATATATATCTTTTCCTTCATTACTTACTTTTATAATATCTCATTATTCCTAGAAAAAAGTAAGCAATTTAAAAAGAAAAAAAAATATAAACATATATCACAAACTCAGAGAGAGTGAGTTTCAAACAGAAAATCATAGAAGAAATAATTAGTTCTAAGTAAAATAATATTTATCGTTATACATTTTGTAAACCGAATAAATGTAAATGTATAATACAAATTGCTTTATTTGCTTTTTGTGCTGGAATTTTATGTTTTCTAGTCACAAAATTTATTATTTTTACATTTATGACGATTTTGACAAAAGGTCTAAACCGTGAAGCTTGCTTTATTAATAAAACATTTTTGACACAAGTTTAGTTGTCTTTTTTAAAGGGGTAGTGCAATATGTTAAAAGGAAAATAAAACATCCAGCTTCTTTGTTTCTAAAACTATATTTTTAATATACAAATATTTGGTAACTTATAAGTTAAACTATTCAGCCTTAGCCTCTGCGGCTGCTGCTTCTTTCTGTTTCTCTAAATTCTCCTTCACTGTTCTTCTATTTCTCCATGCGGTCATATATGAGCGAGGATGGATTGGAAAGAAACCGGAAAGACCTAAAAACAAATTACGAATATGAAGTGTTGATTTTTTTGAAGCAATGTCGGGTGTCAATTACATTTTTAAAATCGTTTTTTATATTATAGCATGCAAATTATAGTGTGGCAAACAAGCAAGTGGACAGAATCCACCGACCACTAACTATAGACATCCACAGCTGCAGATGAGTTTGCCTACTCTAAAGCAACAGAGGAGACGCACATAAAGAGGATATTTCCCCTTCCCATGCGTCTCCTGAGTCAAATCCACTTTCCCTTTCCATTCTTTCTTATTAGAAAAAGGACTAAAATTGTACTTTATGGAGGTAAAATCATTTAGGTATGTTTTTTATAATTTTTAGTTTCTATTAAATAGAATTGTACTTTGTACTGGATGAAGAGAACAAGAAAATTTAATCAAACCAAAAACATTATGAAACACATCACGGGTTGGTGAATATTTTATTATTGAATTTTAAGTTAAAGAATTTTATTTATTTGTTACTTTTTGCATAAATATAAGTATAACATATAAACTTAATTAACTACAGCTTCTGACAGTTGTGGTACTCACTGTCCATAGCTACTTCAACAAACATTTGAAAAACATAGATGTCACAGACAGTCCATTGTGCAGTGTGCAAGGTGGAAGAAGAAACTGTGTCAAATGTCATACAACACTGCCCAGCAGTGACTGAACTCAGGGTTAGGTATCTCGGTTAGCTGAGATTGCTCCTGGAGATCACCAGCAATATAAAGGGTTTGTTGGTGTTCTGCGGAGAGCTGGGTTGGCTGGAGTAATCGATTCCCTGTTTTCCCGCAAAATACGCGCTGGTCGTGGAGTTGCGGAAACTGTAGCCTCTACTACTACTAACACTACTACAATATGTATATTAAAACTAAGCCAAAGGAGTATCAGTAATTTCTTACAGTCAACCAGCGGCACAGGACAATCTAGACAGACATAATAATAAATCTTACCAAGTAATTCAGCTACAGGTGTGGTCACATGGGCTCCTTGGCCAAGCCAGAACTTCATTCTTTCCAGATTTAAGGCAACCAGTTTTTCATTCTTGAAATTAGGCATTGGATCATATGAACCAAGTTGCTCTATCACTGGTTGGCTGTTCAGTCTTCTACGCTGAAAATCAAAGATAAAAAAAAACTTTATAGTATTTGGCAACAAACAAGAAAATTGTCACTGAAATTATGGTCAGAGAAAAGTGAACACTGCCCATGTCTATAGGCTATGGTAACTACTAGATGTCTATGTTTACAGATGAATGCCTACCTTCCTTCAACAAAGAAGAGTATGTATGCAACTAGGATATTTGATATTTCCGTCACCCATGCTAATCTCTGCTGCCTAATTCACTTCCTCTTAACATCCTACCCTTATACAAAATAGGTGGGAAGGGGAATAGGACTAAATTCAAGCTTAAGTTGGTTGTAATGCTGAATATAGCTCTCTCTTGCATTTTAAACAGTACAGTATTATCATGATTAATTCTCCGAATGATAAAGCAAAATACAATAGACCAAGAGACCTTAAAATTAACTGGCATTATATTAAAATAGTTAAATCTTTATAAATAATTTGTATGCCTTCTGCAGAATTCCAAAATTACCTTCTAACATTGAGAAAAAGTATGTAATAGTTGGAAATCAAGCAATATACCCTGAACTTGTATTAGAAAGCATCAGAAGCCGCGCGTTTATTGATGTTATTATTGTAATTAAATAATAAAACTGCTAAAACTTACATGGGTAACAGATATATGGAAGAAAGGTCTATTAGTACATCCTTGACGGATTAACCGAATGGATTTTGCAGCTCTCGCAAAATATTTACCAGTTCCACTCGCTGGCGGAAGAGGCATTGTTAACTTTAATAAAGTTATGACGAATTATTAAATAATATTTTCAATCATATGCGTTAATCTTTTTGACAGATATTGACAATTATTTGACAGATAACCTTAAACCCCTAAAAAAAAAAATAACAACGTTCAGAAACGCAATTTATTTATTTTTAACTTATAAAGGCAAACTTTTTTTTTAGGCCGTTACAATTATTAAACAAAATAGTTTTTAATAAGTAAACTCTAAAACAAAAGTTTTAAAACAATAAAACATTTTTTCTATGTTTAAAATCGAAGACTACAAACATTATGCTTTGACAGTACTTCAAACAAACGGTCGTTTAATAAGTATAATAAGTGTAGGCATGTTTCACAGGGAAATCCCCGAAGTCCATTATTACGTTCTACCCTACTGGAAATTGCTGAAAATTTTGAGTGTTTAGTGTAGTAAATTAATTTTGCAAAATTGTGATGTAACGTGAGCAACTCGATATTGTGTATGACAATCAGGTAAATTGAATTTATCTTCTTTTCTTTCTAATTGACTTTTATCATTTGGTATCAATCAATTCATTTGAATTATAACTGTTATGATTACTGATGTAGATATTGGCAACTATTATTCCATTACACGATTATTTTTTGTTTTTGTCGCCCAACTCTTAAACATATGAACTTTGGTTGGCTGGTTATAGGGCCGCTTTTGGAACAGACCAATTTTTATTGCTAAGCTCTATTCATGGTCTACAAACTAAGTCTACAGTAGACAAGGATTTTGAGAAGCACATGTATATACAACGGATGTAATAATATTACAATAATGAAGGATATAAGAAAGACATAATGGTAGCTTCTAAAAATATCGTGGTTTTGCTGCCTAGGTGAACCTGTAAATGCTTCTTTAGAATAAATAAGAAGTTCACAATAAAAATATAATCTATATGGGATAAAGCCATGTTTGAAGGAAGCCATATTGTACAGAAATTGTCTTTAAAAATATTTATTTTCATATTCGTATGAAAGGGCTCGTTTAGTATACAAGACATGGACAATTAAATGCACTTCTGTATCTCAGAGTGGTAGGAACAAATTACGTATATTTGTGTGACAAGAACGGGACATCTCTCATTTCATCGTGAACGTATATCGATAAAAATGTAAAATAGAACATCCCTAGCCTCTTCCCGATTGCAACCCGCTATGACCGACATAACTTCGACCTTACTACAGACAGAGATGTGAATATATGAAACACATACGAGTGAAGAGTACAAACGATGTAAGTAGGTCACGGGATAAAAAGCGTCTTGAAGTGACATTCTTAGATTTAAAGCGCTACATCGCTGTAAATTTCGGGAGAAATAGGAAGCTGAGTCCGTATTCTAAAAATAGACTCAATTAATAAGAAAATTCACTTAGAGATTTCCTTGTTTTAATCTACAAAGAGATAATGGTAATGGCTTTTAAGACTATAATAATATTACTCAATTTAAAGGATTTGTAATAGTAGAGAAACAATTTGACTTTATTTTAACCTATATTTTTCTATCTTAACTTAATTTAAAGTTTCAAGTTGGTTTAAAAGATTTTGCATTTGATTCACTAACTTCAAAAAACAATAGATGCAAGGAATATAAATGAGGTCAGATCAGATCACATTTTTAGAAAAACCATCAATATGATAGTCTTCAAAGGCAACGATAAACTTAATTTGCAGTGTTTTCATAAATAATCTTCATTGAAATTTTAATTAAAATCCAACTAAGAAAAAAGATTAACTACTTATGATGTTCAGGTCTTTTAACATTGCGTAAATCTGAGGTAGAGACATTAGATAACAAGCGGTGGACTTACTACTCTGTTACGATGATTACGAGAGCAGTAAAAAAATGTCAGTGCCCTACACCCTATTTCGGATTTATTCAATTAACCGCAACCGTATCCGCGCGGTCGCTTCAGCGGCTGGAGGCGTTTGTGGCGCATGCGCGAGCGGCCGCGATCGATCCGCGCGCCGCCCGCCGCCGCCCGCCAGTGTCCGCGCGGCCGTCACGCAGTGCACAATGCGCTCCCACTGACGCGGGGGCAACACGTCAAGCTGTATCTCCGCGAGTACGCCGGGGAGGACGAGCGGCCGCCGTGCCGGGAGGACTGGCGCCGGCAGGAGTGGTCCGGCACGCGGAGCCGCCTGCCGCAGGTGGACCGCAGCCCCTCCCGCCGGAGCCCGTACCTCGCGCGCGATGACGAGCCCTCGCCGGCACCCGACGAGCGCGGCCGCTCGGCGTCCGCGGGCGCGCACCACCGCGCTCGCCCGCGCCCGCTCCGGTACCAGTCCCTGGAGCGAGACTACGACCGCTCTTACGCGCCCCCGCCCCCGCCTGAAGATGACTACTACCGCCGTGAACCGCCGCCGCTTTTCCTCGGCGAGCTGCAATCACAGAATTCGGACCTCCAGCGGGAGCTCGGTAACCTCAAGAAGGAGCTGGAACTGACCAACCAGAAGCTCGGCTCCAGCATGCATAGCATAAAGACCTTCTGGAGCCCCGAGTTGAAGAAGGAGCGGGCGCTGCGTAAGGAGGAGAGCGCCAAGTACAGTCTCATCAATGACCAACTCAAGCTGCTTAACCAAGAAAACCAAGTACGTTATTTTATTAAAACTATACTTTTTCCTTTCCCCACATTCCTTTCAACCTTCTCACCTTCATGTATTTCCCTTCGAGTCTCATTTATGAAAGTAGGATCACTTCAACCAAGTCTCCCATTTTCCTAGTTTTATTAAATTTTTTAAGGTTATCCGGTGTACTTTATTTTTTTTCAGAAAAAGGCGTTTTGATGAATCATTACAATTATTTTAATATCTACAACTACGTGACCAAGTTACTATCCAGCATACGTAACCTTATTCAACAATTGTCCGTACATTTGCAGTTACTAGTCGTCCTACGCATGCTTGAAATCTATTCAAACTTCTCATAGATCAATGGAGCTACATTCATGAACGTCTATCTCTTTCTGTTCACATTTTAACAGAAATTTATTGTTGAAATTAAAATCTTCACTCTCTGTTCGACAAGTGAATATTTTAATTCATTTGTTTCTGACAATATAAATTGTTCATTTTATGACGATACGCTTTGATGTCTCGACTTTAATGCTTCTCTACAACGAGGTAAAATGACATCATTGGGATCTATCCTAATCAAATAAGACAGTTAAATTACGTAAGCCAGTTCGGTGTAAACGAATTACAAGATCAAAATGGTCCAGTTATCCTTAACCCATATAAATCATTATAAAGAGGACAATGTTCCTAATAGCTTAAAACGACGTAAGAATTGAACAATCAGCGGATTTTTCCTGATTGCATCTACATATAAAAACCATGGCAAAAGGGTTATAACAAGGAATAAGTCCTAAAGACAACTGCACTTAGAGTTTAATAATCACATAAGGCAACTTAGTATCAGGAATTTACTCTCAGAGATTGGAGTAACTAGTTACAGCAGAATTTTACACCAAAAATACAAATTATACTTTTAAATGCATAAGAATATGTATTTTAACTGGAACTTTTTTAAACGTTCCATCTATACAACGTTACAAGTATCCGTCGCATACAAAAAAAATGTAAACCACCCAATGAGCATGTGTAGGTTTTACACAAACCAAATAATGGACCTTAAGCAAAAGATCTCATTGTATATGCAGAAATTTATGGATAAATGAATGTTTTTAGATCTGCATAACGGCTCAAAGAAACCCGATGAAATTAGACACAGATGTAGAACATAGTCTGTAAGAACATATAGGCTACTTTTTTATTAAGTTGGTAATAAATACATTTCTTTCTCTATGAATGAGAAGACCAGTTCAATTTCAAACTTTAATTTTTATGTTCTCAATACAAACTTACGTAACGGACAAATGAGCACAAGGAAATGGGGACGAGTAATTTCTTGAATAGACATTTAACGCTCGATAAACTTGATGTTAAACCAAATACCATTGTTTAAGAAGAAAACCAGTCTTATACAGTCTATGATGAAGCATATAAATCTTGCTACGAGATTTGAACCATAGTTAAGCCAGTAGCTTTATCATAATTAAAAAAAAATGATTCACGCGCTACCTACAAAATACTAAGAAACGTGGAAATCCATCGTTAAGCCTTTGGTATTTCAACCTTTCTTCTTTGTTTCCTGATGATGCCTGTAGATAGATTTCTAGTTTCCCTTCCTATCACCTACCACTGTGACATTGGCTGGTTGGAAAGCTTATCATTCCATCAAATAAATAAAAAAAATGATTGTCCTTTTTGTAGCATATTAAAAAGCAAAAATTCGTTCTCGATTCGTTTAGGCTTCGTCTTCAATTGACGTTTAATTCCATTCTCTTATTTCATATTAAAAACATTCGAAGTATATCAAAGGGATAATGATCCTTAAATTTTTTTAAGCTTAAAATGTAAAATAGATATAAAAATCTTCGAGTAAGACCGTAATAATGGTAGCCCCTTTAGACCCAGCCTAGATATTCGACTGGCAATCATCGTGTACACGGATAAAGAGCTAAAAATCCACGAGTAATTACATTTTTCGCAATAGCAATCGTTAAATTAAAACAGAGTGAATTTCATTGTTGAAAATAAAATTCATAATTCGCGAAATAAAATATTCAACGACTTTTAAATGTGGCTTTACGGTTGGAGGGTAGGCGTAGAAAATTCCATCTTTAGAACGCGCGTATAATTTACTCGCTTTGCGTAATTATTTCTGTTATCTAATTAATTTCTAAGTTTAAGAACAATGAATGCTACTTCTTATTTGCTCTAGTTAAGTTTTTTTTTTAGTTAGCTTAGATCTTTTAGTTAACAAACCTAAAAATCTGCAAAGTTTCAATTGCTTTTACATTTCATGTTTAGGTATCAAGTAATAACAAGCTTAAAATGACGTAATTTCTTAAAATAACGATAGATTTTTCAAAAAAAAAAAATATTTTCTTTTTATCCTAAAATAGACAAAAAGCTGAGAAATTATCTGTTGTTAAAATTTACTTTCAAAGTTCCTTTTTCTCTGTGTCTCCCGCGACTTCGTTCGGAGTTAAAAAAAATGATTAAACAGCTTACATTTTCTTCCATACTATGTCCACATTTATGCCAAATTTCATAGAGATTCCTTCAGTAGTTTACGAGATACCTAACAAACATCCATCATTACACGTACATACTTTCGCGTTAATGATGTTAGTAAAATTACTTAATATAAGTATTATCCAGATATATTGTATATAAATACCTGATTCTTTTTGATCATAATAAAGTAGATAATAAATTGTGATCCTTCCTTACAAGTAATATAATAACCTCCAAAATGAACCATCGTAATCCAATTGATACGAAAATCGTCGGATTTCTTCAGGAAATTGAATAGGAAATTGATTGTTACGTCATCCCGGTTTTTTCGTCAATCATCAAGATTTATTCAAAAATGTTCTACTAATAAGGTTAATTAATATTCGAAATAAAGATAAATGACATGACATGACAAAAAATTCAACTGGAGACAACAAAAAAGGAAAATATGCCTTAAGTTTTACAACTCGTATCATCTGGCATATAAATGGGATATTTTTGTTCTAAATTTTGTTGCCAAAGAGCGTTGGCATCGTATCAGTACATTTAAATCATCCTTAATATGCGACCTCATTTGGCAATCCTTAATAAATAGCTGAGCAGATAGCAGACGGGTAGGCGCCACTAGGGATACCCTGTCAGCCTTGATTACGATTCGAGACCTAATTCGGAATTAGGTTAGATTTCAATCGATGAGTTGATTTATTTTTCAACAATAAATAAAAAAAAATACAGTGAAATACTGCTAACTACCGAAATTATTACTCAATTATTGTATTCACAGCATATTTTTGAATCATTATTTATTTAATAAAAACATAGATATATATTTTCACGCTATTAAACTTAGGGCGTAAATAAATTGGAAAAAACCTTAATATGGGAAAGGGACCATAAACTACAAGCTACCAACATCAAGGAAGCATGATTGCCATGGTACGGTAATTGTTATCCAATGTCAAAGGCCTTCGTTGTCATTTGTGCATTTGAATTATGACATTGCAATTAAGAATTTGACAAATGTAAACAGCGAAATAAAGTTTTTATAATTTCATGCGGATAAAACCGTAAGAGACCAGCCAGTTATTTTTATAAATTCGATGCGTTGTTTGCTGATGCCAGAAATTTTAAACTGTATTTCCAAAAATAACTTCAATTTACGAATTTTGAATAAAAGCATGCCAATTATAAACAAATTTTTACCAACAGTTGCCAAAACATAACCACGTTCAGAAATAACACTATTTATCATAAATAACATGTATTTGGTTTAATCTCGTTAAGTCCGTATTACCTCGTCATTTCTACAAAAGGCAACGCTAGGGGCAGCTATGAGATCGGAAGTGCCTCATTAAAAATGGAAGGTGCGAAAGAGTTGCTAGTATTGTTAAACTTTGAATCATTTACGTAAAAATCGATCCTTTGGTTTGCTACTTCTGGCTTTAATTGGATTATTTTGTGTATTTTAACCTACTAGAGTAAAGGAAACATTCTCTGCCTTTTAGACAGGCTACGCATCTGTACATCTTTGGGCGGTTCGCTAGTTTGGCCAATTATGGTGGTCTCTTGCTGGTTTGCTACTATAAAAATCTCGTCTCTGGTTTTCACCAACAATTCTATAAACATCTGATTTTAGGATATGCAAGTATTTCAGTTAAACTGAAGGTGACCGAATAAATCAAATAAACATAACGTAAAATGCTGCAAGTGTATCGCGCCTTTTTAACGTTGTGCCAAATCCCTTTGACAACATTTCTGATTGAATCCAGGCTTATTTTAAATTCCGTAATGATTTTTTTTAATTTAAAATTCGTTGGACTTTTTTGAAGGATCATTATCCCTTTGTTGTACTTCGAGAGTTCTTAATTTGAAATAAGAGAATGGAATAAAACGTCAATTGAAGACGAAGCCCGCCGAATGAAAAGCTAAACGAATCGTGAACGAATTTTTGCTTTTAAATCTGATACAAAAAGGACAGTCATAGTTTTAACATTTATTTAATGAAATGATAACCTTTAAAATGTAAACTTTTTATCTATATCTTAATTAAACGACTTTCCTACTTCTTTTTGTTTCCTTTTTAAGGAAAAATACAATGGGTTTTTTGGGCTAAATAACTGTTAATTGTTTCGACAAAAGAAATAATGCTAATTAAATAAATTTCCGAACGAAATTCTTAGTTTGGCGCCATGACGGCTGTCAGTTTTGGCGCGAAGCCAACGTACGTTCGGAAGCGCGGTCATAGCACCTGTTGACTGGACTATTGCTAAATGTTTTGAATAGCTAATGAGGGGTTTTAAAACGAACGCTTAGATAAAAACCTCTTTACTTTGTTAACTTAATTATATCGTACGTTCTTAGATTAAGTCACGAAAGACGGTCTTACTCCAACTTTTTTTTACTACAAGTTATAATTTTAGGTCCCTTTCGATTTTAAACTAGTAAAATAATTTTCAGAATGTGTTTATTTTGAAGGAAATTTTATCGTCTGTTTTTCAGACATTTTT